CAGATTCAAAAGAGCAAAATAAAAAGAGAAGAATGACACTGAAATTTTATTCTTTTTTATGATAAAAATTGAAAATCAAAGATACGCAAACCTGATTTAGGATCTGATGCTCTGATACCAAGATGATGAAAACCCCAAAGAGAACAATGAGACTCACAGCATGACAAGGGATTTGTAAACGCCAGAAAAACCAAATTAGGTTTATAATAGGACCTTGACCTGTTGTTTATGTCACAACAAGAACCAAAGGTAAAAACCTTGACCCATTGTCTATGACGTAATAAGAACCAGAGGTATAAAGTTGGTTGACGTCACACCCTCGAACGATTAAGAACGAGAATGATAAGTTAGGTTAGAACGCCACAAGAATAATCTTGATAAGTTCTGTAAAGTTCTGAAACGAACGAAAGAGAAAAATTTCTCAAAAACTTAGATTCAATAACTCCCCCCAATTAGGGTTACAAGCCCTTTAAATAAGGAAAAGTTATTCTAATTAGAATAAGAAACTAACACCCTAAACCTTAATCCTAATAACCACGAATTGAGTCTCAAATAAATGAATGTTCAGCCCAAAATAATACAAAAAACGTGAAAATCACTGAAAGTAACCTAAAGTAACATGAAATATCAATTTGTTACAAATTGCAACAGAACTGCGGGATTTTGATGCAAACTGTGTAATTTAGCATAAATGACCTCAATTAAGCTTCTTTTGAACCTGAATGATGTTTACCATGCCTTGATAATCATTCAAGCTTTGATTTACTTGTTGCATGTTGTTATCAACCCGATCTACTCAATGAAGCCATTTAAAACTTTTTGCATCTTCTTAGCTCTAGCTCTCATGATTGGATCTCCTGGAATGTGCAATGGATCTCTTGGAATATGTAATAGATCTCTTAACATGATACATGTGGGGTCATCTTGATTCCCATCAGATAGCAAAGACGCTATTAACAAATAGCGACCATTAAAAAAAACAAAAATAATACAAATTTAAAAATAAAATAAGAGATAAATTTAATAATAAAAAGAAATAAAATAATCTAATAGATTAAAAAATTATCAAAAATCACAGAACAATATTATTTTTAAGACTCAACAAATTATAATCATAACTCAAAACAATCAAATAAGACAATAGAACACATTTAGAAGTTCGAAAGTTACAAGACAACTAAAGTATTGAAGAGGCAATCATTCAAAACAATCTAATAATCCTCACCTCTCTTTAGCTTTCAATTCCTTTTAATTTGCCTCCAAATCATCATCAACCTTGTCTTTTTGACCTTCACCACCAAGCTCAAAATCCTCAACTTCCTCGTCTGGCTTTTCAAGATATAAATTCGTCATCTCTTCATTAACTCTAGGAATAGCATAAAATTCATCAGATCTAGTGGTAGTAGCAGGAGTTCTAATGTTTGGGGTAGGAATTCTAGAGGTTGCGACTGCCACATTTTTTTTCCTTGCCCTTGTCGCACCCAAAGTCAATACCTTTCAAGTAAGAACATGGGCGGAGCTATGAAGAGACCAGGGAGGGCTATCGCCCCACATTGGTCTTTTGAAAAATTTTAAAATTAATCCTTAGATTTTGTATTATATGAATTTCATCTTTAATTTTTATTGTATTTACTTAATTATTCTTAAAATTTATAAAAACAATCATCATTAGTCTTTTTGTAAATCTTATCATTAAATTTTAGTAGAATGTTGTTATAACAATTAGTGACAAATCTATTAAATAAAAAAAAAAAAATTTGTCTTTTAAACTTCTATTTTTTACCCAGAAAATTGCAAAAAAAAAAAAAAAAAAATCTCTAAATGTTTTAAATTTTCCACTCTATCCTCCCTCCTACCACTTAGATCATCACCACCTTTGATGCCTAAAATCAGTCTAAAATATTCATTTTAGTCACAAATATCTATGTTTTTAGGTCAAATATTAAAATTTATCTCTAACTCATAATTTTTTATTGAGTTACATCTATTAAATTTATTTTGTCATTTTCTATATTAATTTTTGATATGTTTTTAAACTTATTACATATTATTTTTTTAAAATGTTTTATTTTATGCTTTTTTTTCATAAATATAACTAGATAAGTATTCAATAATTACAAAAAATTTCAAAGTACATCATATTTCACATTAAGTATGGCCAATTTTGATTTTAGACACAAATTTTCAATTTTACAACTATATATTACTCACTTTGATCTTTTTTAGTTTTCATATTTTATCAACTTTATGTTAATTAATTTGATTATTTATATAGTAAGTGAATAACAACTACAAATTGCTTTTAATGTAGGTGAAAATATTCAACAAACATTATGTTTAGGAAGAAAAAAAAATAATTTTCAATTGTTATATGTTTATCATATAAAATCATTGAGTTAAACTTTATATATAAAAATATTAACATAACTAAAATAGGCAAGAAGGAATAATACTTTAGACACAAGTTTAATTTAAGTGTTAACAAACTTTGCCTCCATAGTCTCAAATCTTGTCTCTGCCACTAGTTATGCAGTTTTTATAGCATAGGATTAGATGTCAAATCTATAGAAAAATTGTATTAAATCCATAAAAAGGGTTATCATAAAAAGAAATTAAATTAAAAAATGATTTTTGAAATTAAGAATAAAAAATTTTGAATAAAATATAACAATTATAAAAGATTGAAAACAATATTATAATTAACTAGGCTCCAACATTTACTTAATTTATTTATTTAATTGTTATCAATTTTTATTCTTATTTATTATTCAATTGTATGTTTCACATCTTAAACAAACAATTAGAAAATATAACTTTAAAACTAAATAATAATAACCAATGTATTTACCAATTATCTAAATAACTTAGTGGTTGTCTCTTTCCGTTGGAAGTAATAGGTCTCAAGTTTGAGTCGCATGACATACGGATGGGGTGGAATAAAGAATGTGAGATGGTTGCCTCTTATTATGAAACAAAGATAAAAAAAAAATAATAATAAATAAATAACCAATGTATTTATTTTGAGATAAATTAATTTCAATGAAGAATAAATTGATTTATTCTTGCAAGTTATCTAAGAGTGATAATATATTTAATCAACAATACTACAATAAATGATCAACCTATAAAACAAATTTACCAATCGATTATATTTTAACAAATTACACATAAAAAATCATAACTAATCTTAATCTCCACGTACTGCTACAATTCCTTAATAACTGAAATGAAGTTAAATCTAGTACTTCCCAGTTAAATGGCTATATGATAAATACAGTGAACATGCCCACACCTAATTTACATAATTTCCCGGTCCCGAAATTATCGCCTGAAGGGACATGTCACACTCTGATTATCATGTTAAGCAAGCCACGTGGACACCTCGCTAAGGCCTATAAATACTCCTTAGGGGCCACCTCAGAAAGGTAATTCAAACCAACCTAAAGCTCCTTTCTCATTATTTTAAAAAGGTAGATCCGATTATTGTTGACTTAAGTATCGGAGTATCTACCCCAAGAACCCACCTCGGGGTTTTGCAGGTTCATCCAGAGTGAAGATGCGGGTTGGAGAAGGACTTCTGGTTTGGTGCAATTATAGAAAAACAAACCAAGGAACAGCCTCTAGGGAGAAGCTAAAGCTAGTTTTAAAAATTTTTTATTTGTATTGGGAATAAAATAGTAATATTTGATAATTGAGATAGTAAACTTAAGGAATTAATTTTATTTGTTTTCCTTCTTTCCGTGCATTCTAATCAAACAAGGGTTGAAACCTCAATTTAGGGTGCGACACTTTGCATGCATCTATCCCTTGTGCACATGGTGACCAAGGGTTGGAACTTCAAAACAGGGTGCCGAACCCCACATTCTTCTGTCCCTGTTTTACACGAACAAAGGTTAGAACCCTGTAACCCATTGACTTTTGGCTTTACGCACTTTGCTTCTTAGCCAAAATCTTTGCCAAAAATAGAGAAATCCTATTTGAGCCTTCAAACTTCAAAATTTAATTCTTGAACCCTCATCTTTTTGACTTGTTGCGTTTAAGTCATCTTTTTTTAATTCTCTCCATTTAATCATCAAACCTTCAATTATAAACAAAATAGCACAATTAATAGAATAAACATTTATGAAATTATGTGTAGAAGAATGTGACTCTTAAGCCCATAATATCACAAATATCAATTGTTGAACATATTTTAGATGTACATTTTCATGCTTTCATCAATCCCCTAGTGTAACTTTTTAGCCCCATCTAGGCTCTTCCTTGCCACCAGTATCCCTTGAGCCTGAATTTCAGCCTTGGTTCTTCACAATTCTCCACTCTCTATTTAGATAAAAAAATCCACTAGTATCTCCCAACCACTGTTTAAATTTTCAGTGACATTTCCACAGGTATTTTCCTATAACATTGTCTTTGTCTTGAACCTCGAGGTCTTTGACTCAAGACAATCCATTACCATCACTTTTCTATTTTGGCCGACATCACTATCACCTTAATTCTTTTCTTTTCACCAAGAATCCCAACCACCATCTTTCACAATGCTTGCGCTGCAATACGTTTGTTATAAGTTATTACCAATAAATATATTTTTCAAACCGTGATTTGTAACCACTTGTATGGTATTAAGTACTTTGCTATTTTTACAATCTTTTGAGAAATAATAGTCATTTGCTCAAGTAGGCGAGGTTTCAAAGGGATGCCTAATGTACCAAGTACCATATAATATACAGTTTCCTTTCATAAATTCTTGCTAGTCATTAATAAAGAAGTTGAGAAAATGTAGTGCACCCATGGTTGTGTAATCTGCTACATTGGAATACTTTTATTATTCATCCATTTTGACAAAATAGATAATTGCAGGGATCCAAAAGCAATTTGGTTACGGTCATGGACAATCTAATCGCCTAATTCCCATTCTTTGAATTGAG